CCAGGAGAGGCCTCGCCAGCACCCCGCTGCACCATCCCAGAAGTCTACGTCCAAGTTATCTGCGCTCATCTACCTGGCACAGCTCAACTGATTGGATCATTTACACTCCTTTTACAAACTGGTCTTACATCGAAAGCAAGAAGGCTGAAGTACTACTGGGATTTTATTCATTTTCACTGTTACTAACAGTGCCGTGGCAGCGACCCAGCACACTTGTAGAGTATATATTAAAAGATGTTCATGGATTTAATTGGATTGCGGATATGGTAATTATCTAAAAAGTAACACATAGCACAGAAGTCTTTTAAAGTCCATACCTTTTTCCCTCTCACTTTTCCAAGCAGAGGATACTGCAGAATACAAGAATGCACTTGGCAAGTCAGACAGGGTTAAAGCAAACACATACAATATTTTTAAAAATATTTGTAATCACAGAACTAAACACCACCACACAGCATCACCTTTTAAAAAAAAAAAAAAAGCTGAAAGAATGGCATTGTATTACATTCTGAATATTTAAACAAAGCAACAGTCTGAGAAGAGATTCAAACAAGCAGTTATTCAGGAAGATATCAGCATATTTAACAACGCACACTACAAAATGCTGTTTCAAAGGATTCGGACAGAACAGGTAAGATGGACTAAAAAGACTTCAGTGACCATGAACCTGGTGAAGTACCACGCTCCACAGCACTGGAACTTCCTCAGCCCTTTTAAACTCAGTAAAATATGCACGGAAAGGGCTTATGGTTCTACCATGTTTAATTTTCAGACACCTCTTCTGGCACTGCAGAGAAATGCAATTGTTTCTAAATTTATTCTAGAAAGTAACAAACAAAAGCAGCTCATCCAGACTACGTCTGATCTCAGGTAAATTGAAACAGATGTCATCCACAGCACCCAAGTATGATTTTTAAATAATCTGGTAGGTATGAAAAACTAAAGAACAACACAGCAACAATATCCAACAAGTTCTGCTATTCTGAGAGTAAACGTAATCTACCTCATCCACAAAGAGGGGAAATTCTTCTGGCAGAATCCAGGATCGAGGATAGAAGTTGTACTCAAGAGGAAAGAGATCTTGCATTGTTCGCACCGCCCGACTCAGTGTAATCTTACGTACCATCTCCGTCATGCCTGGGAATATAACAGACAATGTCTAAAAGCAATGAAGAATCTGCAACTAAGTCTCATCCTAAAAGTAAATTGTTCTATCCTTACTCAGTATTGGTAAGCACTCTGGTCACTGCTTCCAATAAAGCTGAAAATATTTTAAAATCTGACAAAATATCCGTAGCCTGCCCCTGACATATTTCACATTGTATGTATTACTGTATCATATTAGAAAAAAAATAATTAGTTACCCTAAACACAGCTCAGAATAACAGAGGGAAATTTTTAGTCCAATAGTAACTACTGGCTTTGCCATAACCCAAAATTATTGCCCTAGCCTGCTATCATCCCAGGAATAGGTAAAAATGTGATTTAAAGATAATCAACCACTTTGGCTGACTTTGCATTCGTTCAAGTGACTACATCAGAAAGAAAAGGTTATTTCGCGAGCAGCCAAACTCCGCTGCTTCCCTGCAGCTTTGAATCTCGTGCTTGGATCACGCCACGTCCAGGTCCGTGCGAGCTCTGGCAGAAGCTTTTCCCAAGGTCGGGGCACTAGGAGTTACTCTCATGTTGTTTATATGCTTTCAGGTATTACAGCTTACGAGGTTCACGCTGCAGCTTCCTTCTCAGTGAGAACAGCATCTGTGGACTTCTGTCCTCCATGGTCAGCGAATTTCCACAAGACCTACAGGGGTTCAGTAGTCTGACTGCAAACCTCTGACGAGCACCGCTAATTTTGGCCAGGAATTTCCAAAGGTACAAGGAGGACAGCAAGTAACACGTTTGCTGAAGTCTTATTTCCACCAGGAACATGACTAAAAAGCTGTTTTCATGGAAAAGCTTCTATCTTTCTGAGGACCAACCCTTTCAGATTCTTCGAATCTCTCATAAGTAACTAAGAGAGGTATCAAGACCTCTTCTTCAAGAGAAAGAAATCAGTAAAACCCAGCATGAAGTTAGCGCGATGTTCCTGGAAATCAGGTCTAATCCTGCAGGACTCTGTGGTTTCGACTGCGGCGCAGGCCACCCACTCACCACGCAGGAGGGTAACACTCATCTAACACAGATTTCAACCACTGGAAAACTACACCATCCGGTACCTGAATGTGAACTTCCTACAGCCAGGAGAAAGTTGGGGTAAATAAAGCACAAAGTTTGCTATCTGAGGGTTCTTACTTTCACAGCTTACCAGCAGCAGCAATAAATCTGAAGTGAAGAGCTTAGATAAGTCAATACCTAAGCTCTTAGCTCTTATTTAGAGAGATCTCAACAGGGATTAAACGAGAAAAAAAGGAAGCTTAGAAAAGTAGAAGAGTCATCATAAGATGAGGGCTGACATGAACTCTTCAATATTAAAAAATCCATTCGAGGAGCTCTGCTTCGAGCTCCTCCCTGGGATAGCCCAGAGTATGGAACAAAGCAGATTCTTTCCACTTTCAATCAAAACCAAATCCTAAGACACAGCACTGTTATCAGTGCTAGATAACATACAATAATTGCACACTTCACTTAAATTATAGCCTAACACTCTATTTTTCCTAAATTCACACACATGTAGTATTCTTATCATCAAAAACACTTTCTCCAGAACAAATCTCAGTTCAGACGTTGCTTGAAACGCCCATTCTGATATTCTTACCCCCCAAGCAGGAATCACCTACTAAAAACAATAATATGCTAAAAATACTATCAGCTGATTGGGCAGATGATTCATATTAACAGAAAACAGTAAATCACAGAAACAGTTAAAATAATTGTGTTGTTAAACCACTCGTTTAAACTAGAAACAGAAGTAAGGTACCTGGAAACTTGTTGACTTGACCTGAGAATATGTCGTTATCACGAAAGGACACCCCGTGCCAATAGATATCGCACGGCAAGCGTCTGCCCAAAGGGAACTGGAAAAGAGACAGGAGACAGGTTCTGAAGCAGCCTGGCAACACCCATTCTTTCCTTACTTTTCTAAATGCTCATATTAGGCATAAACCATTCAAAAACAGTCTTCTGACTGTCCGAAGAATACACGCCCTACAGTTTGGTTCCCAAACTAAGAACATTTTATCAGTTCAAGCGGTAAGGTTCAAGACATTAACAAACCGGGAAAGGCTTCTAGAAACTAAAAACAAATGACTGCGAGGCATGATCTGCACTGAGAAACTCCGAGCTTGTTATCCACCACAATTAAGGCATGACTCATTTCTAATTTAAAATAGGATTACAGGGAATAAAATTTCATTAAGCAGCACTTAATTCCGGCACATGAAGGCACAGCAAGTGCTACAGCTGGGAAGCAAACAAACTCTGACAATGTTTTGGCTTGGGTTTTTTTTCTTCCTCCCCAGTTTAAGGGGTGATAAGCAACCATCAAAGGAAAAAAGCACCAGAGGTGATGAGGAATTGGCACTACTGGCAGTTACTACATCATCTCCTATTCTTAAAAAAGCCACCATTCGACGCCGAGGCTCCGTACCCCGCGCTCCCCCCCCGCAGCTTGGTACCCCAGACGCCCATGCGGCATCTCCGGGGTCGCCCCGGCCAGCATGGGTGGGAAACGCCTCTGCTCCCCAGGGCTTGATTTCAGGGAATACACGTCGGTAGCAATACTGTTGTAAATGAATAGTAAGCTGTAACTGCAAAGCACTTTCTGAGCAAGCTGATTTACACTGGTGTCCAAGCTGCAGTAAAATTAAAATGGATATTCAAAGCAAAATATTTAAGTGACATAACTGTATTATTCATTTTTATATATTCAGTTATAAGTATTAATTTAGACAGTATTGATTCCTTTCTGGTACTAATAGCCTGTATTTAAAAGAAAAGCTTATAATTTAATTGTTTGTTGAGCTTGTATATTGAAACTATTAAGGACTAAGGCAATTATTTCAACAATATTAGGCATTCCGACAACTTAAGAGCTTGTTTTCCCATTCACAAGAGATTTTACCATAAATTGGAATACCATGCAGGATTCTGTTACCGGAGATCAACCATTTTTAAACAGTCTGAAGAGCTCTGAGAGAGCGCTGCCAACGACTGATAGCAACAGTTTCTAATAGTAGTAAAGTGGTATAAAAAAAAAAATAAAAGCTACCAGCAGTAAGAACAAAAGCCCTACAAATTAGCAGTATCAACAAAACTGAAAAAGATACTGTTAAAAAGCAAACATTTTTAATCTGTGTTATAATAATAATTACTTTTGTGTAAAAATGGTACTCTTCTTTCCCACACTTGTTCTCTTAGACACGGTCCCTTTTATCAATCCAAAAAAAACCATTTTTATCTGCAACTGCATGTAGGTGCTGTTAATTACACAACATAGGCAATATGTTCACAGGAACCTCTTCTATTTTTAGGTTATATCTTTTTTCAAATAAATACGCTATACTTCTGACCACTGCATTTTTAGGACACGTGGATGAAATATCTACCACCCTCCTCACCCAAAGACTTCAGGACCATTTACTTCTTGAAAGCACCACAGCATGCTGCAAAAACTACTTGTTCCAAATGTCATTTTTCTTGCTTTAAAACATTCCTTTAAGCACTGGATTTTTTTTTCAATATGACAGAAAAAAAGAATCTCATAAAGCTTTTGAGTGAACTACTTTATTTGCTACTTTAATTAAAATTCCAGTTTCCTCAGTAAATAGCCTTGAAAAATTAATTTAAAATGCTAATTGAGCAATATATCCTTTCTGTTTCCGTACTCCGAGGGATGAGATACCCAATTTAACGGAGCCAGCGGATTCTCCACTTATTTCATTATTATTCAGCCTGCAAAACCTGTTTTTGTACAAGTGAAAATTAATTCTGTTAGGCTCTGAAAGACAATCAGCGGCCTTCACCTCTCTCCACAGGTGTATCCAGAATACAGATGCAGTGTTCAGTCTCAGAGCGCCCTTCCCACTAAAACCTGAGCAACTTATTTATTTATTAAATGAAATTCAAGTGAAAGGAATGAAATTTGCATTTATATAACACCTTTCATCTACAGAGGGTATCCAAGCACTTTACAAACACCGCACAGAAATCATTTCACAACAGACGAAGCGCGAGCAGCTCCGGAGTGGAAAATGGAAGCGCTGCACCCCCACATCAGCGATTCCGAGAGCACGGCAACTTCCCCGCTCCTGAGAAATCAGGATTATTTGGATCTATCCAACAACGGGATCAAACTCACCTCCTGAATGAGCCGGGAAGGATTCTTTCTCATCCACGCTATCCTTTTACATAAGAGTGGTGTTTGGAAAGGACCAGACACGTTCGATTCTTTGCCTCCCTCCGGCAGTGCCAAGCAGATCGAAATGAAAATGGTAGCAGGGGCCTTTCCGCCACCTCCCCAGCTCCGGGCGCAGGGGACTAGCTCAAAGCAAGGTCGACACGTGAAGCAGCCTCTGTTCTTATATACCTTCTGTCTGCAGCTCCC